GAAGTTACTTGGACTGCCTCATCTCTCAGAGTTAGCATGGTAAAAAGAACCGGAATGCAACAGGACCTTGGAAAGGAGGGCCGAGCTGCGGAACAGAAAAGATATTCACTCACTGGCTGGTCGGTGGAGATGGAACAGACTGAGGAGACAGAGTAGAGGTCGGTAGTGAATGGAGGCAGTTTGTCGGACTGTGCATTGACCTGGCTGGTGGAGACTGGGAGGGCGATCAGGCATATGGTCCGGAGATGGTAATCTGTGGTAGCGGTGGTGAGGAGGAGCAGGAAAGGTGTAGCAAGGAACTGGAGGAAAAGCAGGTGATAATTTCCACATTACAACAAAACTCAGTGCACACACAAGGTGCTTCAGCGTCACCTTTGCAAGGCTGCACAACAACCACTGCACCAGCAGATGTCACTAACATGCTCAATGAATGAAGCTTGGAGTAGCGAACCAATTTTTGATGCAATGGTTCTAAGGGGTTCAAAGCTTCATGGGGCCTCATATGGCCATCACTACACAGGAGGTAAAGGCAGGAAGTGGAGAGTCGTTCAGTTGCCGTTGTGGTTAGTGAGCGGAGCACACCGGAGCGAAGCCCGGGAAAACACAGGCCAGGAGTGAGAGTCACTATAAGAGATCTTCAGAAAGAGACAACAATCTGGCAACGAGGACACACCAGTAAGCAGCTTAAGAAGAGGCAGGTTAATTGTCCACAGCTGTGCTAGGCATGCCTCCTCGCCTAGACTGGCTGCTGACACGTGAGGGGGCGGAGGTGCCAGATGCAGACGTGACAGAGTTGTTGTCTATAGAATGAAGCAATTTCATAAATCTATGCCCGGTAGGAAGGTGGAAAAATGAGAAGCATTCTAAAGTTTGGTTAATTACTCATACTTTTCAGCATCCACACAATTTAGACGATGTTACTGATTCTTCAACCCTCAGATCCTCAGGAACGGAGCTGCAGAGCATAGGAGCTACAAAAGCCTGATCACCTTTGTCCTGAGCATGGAACTTAGTGCCATCCAAGAGGGCCCTGCCTGAAGTTCAGAAGCTGCATTCATAGGAGAGTAGCCATTCAGTAATATAACAGGGTCTCAAACCATTAAGAGCTGTATGTAAAGTAGGTGGAAGTGGAGGAAACATTAAGCACATGCATCCTATAAATAAGCATCTATGTCTTCAAACAAGATAGAATGAGGCAGGCAGGTACAGGAAATGAGTTGATTTATACTGAAGATGTTATTAGATTTTTCACTTTTAGGATTAAATAAAAGTTTAAGGTATGAGTTGTGGTTTAAAATGATGTGACACATGAGAGATTTTTTTCACAGAACAGTACATGGGTATTTTGTATAAAAAATAATCAGCAAAATATACAAAGTAATCAGCAACTGCTATGTTGATAACCCCGAAACACCATACAGTTTTATTGTTTCTCACATAGTTTCTATGACATACAGGGACCAAAATGGTGATGCACAACACCCAAATCACAATATTCAATCATACATCAATGCCTGCAGAAATGAGAAAGAAGAGGATTGACATGTTTGTGTGAATAACAGAATTAACTCTATGCTCATAATTATGTTGGCTGCAAAAAGAATTGTCCATCCCATCCTAGGCAGCTTGTCTTTTCCAAATCCCCTTTTCTGTATGCAAACTAGAGTAGTTCATTGAATAATTCTCACTAAACCTGTCTCATCCACTTGTTTTCCCTTTGAGAGGCAATCACCCATCTGCTTGTAATTTATGACCATGAGCAAATCTGCTGTGGTTTTACAAGGATGCATTAGAAAACATTCTTATTATTGTGAAGCATTATTGTAAGTGGAGAAAAATACACTTCTTAATGCAAAAAGATAGGCGCTTTCCAAGGTGGAGCCTCAGACTTATGTGTATCTGAGACAGCTAAAGGAAGATGAATTATTTTCCACTGCTTCTTATTCATTATTCACATTATGCAAATAATTGATCTCTGTGAAATATTTTTAAAAAGCTTTTGAACAGTCCAGTCCAGTGCAGCCTCTCCACTGATTTAAGATGCATCAAGACTTGTGTTTGTTGTACCATGGCTTTCTGAACAACTTGGTTATCAACTTAGTGAGATTACACTGCAGTGGTGCATATTGCTAGCCTGCAACAACCCTCAATTTCAACATGTCCGAGTGAGTACCAAAGCATGTTTAAATCATGCTAAATCTGGAAAATCAGTTTGCATTTATCAATACATTGGAATCAGTGACTTTTACAATGTTTGTTGTTCATACTGTTGCTGCTTTATACTGTAAGTGAAAAGTCTGTCCTTCAGTTCAAGGTGCAGCGTGTAAGATTGTGACCCAGGGACCACCAGTGTGAGTAAGAAGCAACTTTCAGGTCATAGTGGTATAGTGGATAGACCGGATGGGCATTATTATAATCCTGAAAGTTACCTAGGCTTTTCTAAATTGTATATATATATTTGAAAATTAAGTAATCTATTGCCACCACAGGGAGCAGGTCGCCATTCATAAACGCCACAATGTTGTTCCACCATGCACTGCTTGGACAATGAGCAAGAAGAAAGTAGAAGAAAGAACACCCCTACCTCTAAACTCTGTAAGGTTAACACTGTGAACTCCCATGCCCCTAGAGCTGTCATGCCCTCCAGTATAAACTTGCTAAACAAATCTTTGCAAGTGATATTTATTTGTTTGTATGACCTTTATTTTACCAGGACGTCCAATTGAGATCAAGATTTCTTTTTCAAGGGAGACCTGGTCAAGATGGCAGCCATACAGATTTACAGCATATTAAAAATCAACACATACAACACAATATACCATAATTCCATTCACAAGATCAAAACAATGGACTCTCAATGGATGTCTCCTTCACCGCATTCTTTATGATGTCCTTAACTTCAACAATAGATATGAATGTGTCTAACTTTAGATCTTTCTACAAGTTATTCCATGACCGAGGTGCATAATAGGAAAAATCTGTTTTTTCCAAATTTGTAAAAATTCAAGATAAATTAAAAAGTAACCACCTGAAACAGTGTAGCTGGTAACCACCAGAGATAAGACACAACAAGGTACAAAGATAAGGTGGAGGTTTAGATAAAAATACACCAGTGCTTTTATGTATAAAGGGTCAGTCATGTCCACCCCACTAACTCAAACAAATTCAGTGGTGAGTACAAGACTTTGCATTTGTAATGAAATCCAAGGATGTATGCACTAATCAAGGCTTTGTAAAATAGAGGAGGCTACATGCATATATAATATATCGCCAAAATCAATCACAGGTAGAAAGTAGTTTCCAAGTTTTTTCATAGCACTGTAAGTAAAACGCATTTTATCTCTAAAATAAAAGCCAATCTTCACCTGGAGCTTCACATATAATATGCAAACTTAATAAAAGTTTATCATCAATCCATATCCCCACATAAGAGGACACTCTCAATAGATTTCCCATCAGATGTGAGAATGCTACAATTATCAAGCAACTGTGGGCATCATGCTTCCTGGAGCTTCACATATAATATGCAAACTTAATAAAAGTTTATCATCAATCCATATCCCCACATAAGAGGACACTCTCAATAGATTTCCCATCAGATGTGAGAATGCTACAATTATCAAGCAGCTGTGGGCATGCTCTTGAGAGGGCAATGAACTTTAAAACTGATTTTAAACTCAGCAAAGTCATTTCTAAATTTTGAAATGCAGTCTGTAGCTTTTTGATTGCCTCTGCTAGAGAGGAAGAATATAAAGTATACACAGTAAATGTAAAGTATAATTATTGTGTGATGTCTGTATGGGTTGTGTATGTTTGTCTAATGTACTTGTTTGACAGTTGCCACAGACACAAAAATCGTTTTCAAAAGGACAATAAATTGAAAATGAAAACTGAAATTGTAATTGGACTGTCTGGTCTTTGACTCTGCAAACTTATTATAAATTTGCAGCCTGCCAACATTTTCTCACAGAATTTTCTAGAATTTTTGCAGCCTGCCAACATTTTCTCACAGATGAAGCTTCTAGAATATAATGGCTTTTTTCCTCCTTATACGTTACTAATGTTAGTTTGCATTAGCATGAATAACAGCTATGTAACAATAGCAATAAAACACCACCGCAATACAGGGAAAGTAACGCTAGTATTTGCTGTCTTACATGGAAGCTATGACCTGTAGTATTACATACTAAATAGATTAACCTAATTCAATTGCTAAATGTACTGTATAGCTATATAGCTGTATAGATCATGACTTGACATACTGCTATTCGGTGTGTGGCTTGTGGATGACACAGCACCTGATGGCTATTGTAGGCTCTCTCATGCTTAGAAAGGGAGGGGTGGACTTTGGGGGGTATTCAGATGGTTGCAATCTGCATCCTCACCTCTAGATGCCAGTAAATCTCATCCAGCAGCAGATACGAGGTGCTGTTTGGCAACAGTATATTTTCCCGGAGAAGCCTCTTTCCATTTGTTGAACTGTTGTCGTCATGTCTCCCTCAGAGTGGGTTGTTTCAGAGCAATGAGCGATTTTTAATAA